ATTGAAATACAGACAGGGAAATTTCTGAAGAAGGATCCCTACCTAAAACATCAACTTTCCTGCTCCTCCAGTGCTGCCTGGCCTGCTGTGTTCCTCCAGCTCCACACTTTGTTATCTCTGACTCCAGCATCTGCAGTTCTTGCTATCTGTCAGGGAAATTCAAACCATCTTTCCATTGACACGAATAGTTTTCACCAAACAAAATAAGTTGTACATCAGGATAAAGTTTACAGCATCTGACATACAAATTCTTGTTATTGAACACATTTCATTGAGGAGAATTTTATAGGGGCCTGAACAATGTGGACTATGGCAAAAAAGCTGGCAGAATCATGTAAGATATTCAAAGAGGCTCATCTTAATGTCGGGAGCAATTAACTGCATCTTTTTAACAACATCTGGGCAACGAGATGACACTGTGGCTAGGCAGTGATAAGATGCCTATTTGAGGGGATTATTACTTGTTAACAGATTCATGAACAACAAATCTTTTCAGAGAATTGGAGGCTGAGGGGTGAGCTTATACAGGTATGTAAAATCATAAGGGGCGTGAATAGGGTAAATCGACAGGTCTTTTTCCCAGGGGTAGGGGAGTCCAAAACTAGAGGGCATAAGTTTAAGGTAAGAGGGTAAAGATTTAAAACGGACCTAAGGGGCAACTTTTCCACACAGAGGGTGGTGCATGTATGAAATGAGGAGGTGGTGGAGGCTGGTACAATTACAACATCTAAAAGGCATCTGGATGGGTATCCGAATAGGAAGGGTTTAGAGGGATATAGTCCAAATGCTGGCAAATGGGACTAGATTTATCTAGGATATCTGGCGGGCATGGATGAGATGGACTGAAGGATTTGTTTCCATGCTGTACATCTCTATGACACTATAATAAGCATCTTCCTATTCCACCAACCGTGAATAAACTAGAAATCAATAATTCCTGATATGAAACTCTGAATGGTACCTTGCAACTGCAACTCACTGCTTGCAACTCCAGGCCACCATCTTGGCCAGCCAGTAAGCTGTCTCATAGCACCTTCTAGCTGGTATCCAACACCTGAACAATTCTCAGAGCCCTCATGGCACCTCTCTGACCCATTTGAAGGACACTTCCGCACTTCATGCTGCAGCTTGGGGGTGCCCTGGCAACTAGCAATGCAATACTGCTGCAAGGACACTTTAGGTACAGGGACAGGGACCTTGCTCACACATTGAAGTAGGCTGCTTCTCAGGGCTGTTCACTCGCTTTCTTATTGCTCACTCACTCTGAGCCTACTTGGATGCTCACAGCATCCCTGCTTTGCCGCACCTTTTGAGTCAGAGTTTCCAGACACATAGTGCTTCCCACTTGCCTTGCTGTTTAACACAGGCACAAAGCCAGGAAGCCTGACACAATTGTTAGCAGTCCTCGGTTACATCAAGGAAGACAAACTTCACTCAGGGAATCCTTGAATAGTTAGTCAAGGATAACCTCTGATATCAGTCCAGGGGCTTGAACACTTGGGGCATTCAGGATCCACCACCTGTCTTCTACCCTACTGTCGGTTGTTTACTTCTGGAATCAGAGGAAGTGAGGGAGTGAATGGCATAGCTGTTAGTGTCAGTGTGGGTGGTGGAAAAGTAGTGAATTGTCCCGAGTGAGTTAGTAGGCAGCACAGAGAACATGCAGGGTTGACGGTGTCAGATATTGGCCTGGGTGAGAATGAGTGGGGGAGGATGTTGTACATTATAGCCAGAGGAGTAGAGTATGAGACTTGGTGGGAGGTGTGTGCAGTAACAGAGATAGAGTGTAAGGTAGCAGAGAGTAAATAGTTGTTCTTGTCTTGGCGGAGTGGAGAAGGTCATTGACCTTCCTTCTACACTATTGAGTATTCTTCCAGATGCCTGAGTTTGCATTGATCTGAGTGGCAACCTCAGCCCAGGCTGGCAGGATCTGGTGTTGTGTCTTATTTCTGATCCCCGAGGAAAGATGGCCCTCCACTGCATCACTTTGTCCACCAGGACCTCCAGGTCTCGGTCCATAAAGCAAGACACCGATTTCCCCTTCTCTGCTATGTCTGGGGCAATTGCCAGTGCTGGGCAGTTCTGGACTGACAACGCTTGCTCAGTTACACAGTGGCCTTTTAAAGATAATGTTAGTGTCAGCAATGAGAGTCGATTTTGGGATATCCAAGCAGTGACAAGATTGTCTGGAAATGGCATGTGGTAGAATCAGGATAGCATTGGATGAGAGTTTTGCCATAATAGCAAATTTGACCTTGTGGGGGATGTAAAGTCCAAGCATTAGATGCAGGAAATATTTTACCAAAGAGGGAGAGAACTCTAACAACTGGAAGAACAGTGCTGATTACTGACTGGAGCAACACGATCCACACAAATGTTCGAAAGCATTGCCTCCTATATTGTTTCAGAGAAAAAAGATACTTAAAGATGATTGAATTCGAGGAAATATTAGTATCACAAACACAAATCACAATTCTCATTTAATCTTGGAGGAGGAAATTACTGCAGATGGTGGAATCTGTGCTGAAAACAAGAAATGCTAGAAATCACAGTGAGTCAGGCAGCTTCTATGGAGAGAGAGCAAGCCAACGTTTTGAGCCCAGATGACTCATCAGAGCTCATTTAATCTTAATTTTCCTTGCTCACTTTTAGGCGCTTCTCCTACACACCAGGAAAGAGATTGATCCCACTTATAGAAATCTACCTGTTGCTCCATGGAAAGGTCAGCAAATATACCCTTATGTTGTATCTTCACTTTGTGAGGTGTTCATACATGACTTAAGATACCCTTCTCCATCCAACAACTAGCTTGTGGATTTACTGTGTGGAGATTTTTGGGCACAACATACACATAACATATAATATTACACTAACACGGATTGTTCAAGTTTGCTATAAACCGGAAGTATTGGCGTGAAATACATTCTTGCCTGCAATATGACAAGTACAAGATCTGTTTATGTGCTTCAGTAGTCAAGTATGTACACCCGGGTTAGCTCACAATCTGACTTCAACTCAACTCAGTTGCATTCTCTCTTTCAAAACTCAAATAAGATACGAATTATAGAGTCATAGAGACTCGCCTATACTGACCAAGTTTACCAAACTAGTCCCACTTGCCTGTGTTTGGCCCATATCCCTCTAAAACCTTCCTAGTCATGTACCATCAACTTTAATGATCCAGAAATTCTCATTTGCAGCTACTAATTAATTTGACTCAATTTATATCGGTAGAAACATAGAGATAGAGTAAGCCATTCAGGTACTTGAGCCTGACTCTCTGTTCAATTAGATTATGACTGCTGTGTATAATAACTCAATTTATCCACTTTGGCCCCATATTCCTGAATGCCAATTGCTTAAAAAAGAAAATCTGTTGCACTTTTGAAATTAAAATAAAACAACAGCTTTTTTGGTTAGAAAGTCTCAGATTTCCACAACCCTCTGTGTGAAGAAGTGTTTCCTGACATCACCCCTGAATGGCCTAGCTCTAACTTTAAGGTTATGCACTCCCCATTGTAGAGGAAATAGTTTCTAATTCCTCAACCAAATCCTTTCATCAAATTAAACAATTGCTAATTTTGTATGTTTTATATGTTCAGAAAACTTATTTTCTGAAACTGCTTCTCATAACTTGGGTGATATTATTCTGGTGCATCTACACTGCACCCACTGCAAGGCCAATACTTCCTTCTTGAGGTATAGTGCCCAGAACTGAAAGCAGTATTTTGAGGCTTGTGGCATTTCAGAGGAATCTCAGCTTATTTAACAATATGACTCTTGGCTCCATATCCTGTAAATCAGTCGAACATCATTTTGGCTAGGCCACAAAATAAAGTTGTATACCATGCCTGAGAGGCATGATTATGTTGTTCTGATAATAATAAAAATTGAGCTAGGAAAAGATTTTGGTAGCAATTTTATCTATCACTGTTTCCTAGTAATTGCTTTTCAAATGTTGAACCACAACCCACATTTCATTAACTGAGTCAAATCTGGCAGTGTTTTTAGGATGTCAGACAGTGATATGCAAAATGCACTTTTCTGCAAACTACAATGTTCCACTTTTATGTGCGAAATGCAAGGGATAATGCTACAATGAAACTGTAAGTATGTGTGATCTTTATACCACATTGTACAACTTTCAAAAAGTTTGCAGTATTATTTAAACCTGACAAGAACTTGTTTGAAGAAATCCCCTTAATTTACAAAAACTTCCCAAGACTTTTGAAAAGTGCATAAATCAAAA